TTTAAGACAAGATGTAAAATTGTGACAAGTTTGGTATGCAAACAAGAAGAAACAATAGTATGCTTATCATAGTTTGAAGAAGTACTTATCACATACATCTCTCCATTCTCAATAAAAAAAAATATGGCTATTAGTATTGATCTACGTCAACACAACATGGTTAGGCATATTTTTTTATTACACTTTTAGAGAAAGACCTTTTTGACAAAACTATTTAGAAAAGTACAAGCTAAGTACAACCATGGCAATGCAAATCAAGACTTAGATGACCAATTATCTATTCTTTGTGTGGATTTTTTTACTTTATTAATAACTTAGGATGACTTTGTGATATTTTTTCTATCCAAAAACATCTATTGATCTTTGATAAATATGCAAGCCACATTATTATTGAAGTGGCAAAACTTGTACTAGACGTAAGATTAGACATTCTAATCTTATAATTTTATGCTATATAGTCTCTAGATATATGTGTATCTAAACCAATCAAGACTTATCTTAATGAATATTGAAATTATGAAGTAATAAGAAACTTAAATCAACCTACATAAAAAAAAATTCTTTTGCATTGGATGTTCTTAAAGTTAAGGCATACCTTAATAATAAAAAATATTACCAAAGACTTTAACTCTATTAAAATTATTCTCTTAAGCAAAATAACAATAGACAATCACATGCGCCAAAGCAAAACCTATTTGCAATTTGTATAACAAGTTGGACAAGATGAAAATGAGGTAGTTGAAAATTCTATAAAGAATGAAGGCAAGAGTATGAGATTGGTTGGTAAAGACATACTTGCCCTCTTCCTTAATGATATCCCAATCAATTTAGAATTGGTTACAAATTCCACCAATGAATATTTTTTTTGTTGATAAAAACATATCTTATTTGGAATTGACAAAAGAGGTTGGCAAATTAGACCCCACTTATCTTAACTCAAAATCTATAACTTGATTTTCAACTTTATCTACCATCATAACATAGTCCAACTTAAAAAAATGCAATTTGAATTCTATAGTAAATTTTTTAAAGTTTCTAATGCTAACTTCAAAGACATATATGAATATAGTGTACTAAATCTAGGACCAAAATCATAAAAAAGAAACAAAAAAAGAAAGAGTGCAAATTTAACAAGAAGAATTCAAATAGTGAAGAATAGTAGATTAAGAGTGATGAATATTTTATAAGAAACTCACTTGTGCGATTTGACAAAAAATTATACTCACAAGGCTGTAGAGCAAGAAGCTATGGCAAAATAGTGCACCCGCAAGGCTATAGAAGAAGAGGCTATGGCAAAAGAGCAAGCTTATAAAGTTGTAGTATGGGAGGCATTGGTATAGGAGCATGCCTACAAGGCTCCAAAACAAAAGGATATAGCCAAAGAATAAGCCTGTAAGGTGCCATAGCAAAAAAACGTGCTTGAAGAAGTGGTGCACTTAAAGGTACATGTAAAGCATATTACAAAGCTCCACGTGTATAGCACTAGGCTTTGCAAGCTTGCAAATCAAAGACTGTGAAGAGTTTATAGAGAGCATCACAATGATTCAAAACCTCAACTTATGTATAGATTATAAAGAAGAAACATAATCTAAAGCTTCATATTCAACATGCAACCTTGTCAAATTTTGGTCCAAACAACATGTATTATTGCCATGCATTAATCACCGACATGCACTCTTGCCATCACTATACACTAATTCAATATACAGCTCACAATAGTGCATTTTACTACAATTCTTAACATATGATTTGTATTCTATGAATGGCACTAATTTATTTTTTTTTGGAAGCCCATTTTAAAATTATGTCATCCATATATAGTCCATATTACAATTGTAGCAGTTGTCTATCCACTCAAACCTTGCTCAATTCCAAAACATTCAAATATCATATTTGTGGCCTATGCAAGCTAATGTCAGAGAAAAATCTTCAGAGAGTCATTAGAATGGAGCTAGAAGATGAAAAATATGGGATGGGGTTTGGAGATGATTAAAAACAAGGAATTGGTTGCAAAAATTTCACTCAAAACTAGTGGATTACATACAAAATGGATGTTTGAATTCCAAAAACTTCATCCACACATTATTGGTTGTAGGTAGTACGGAAATAGCTATAAATCCCATGCAAAATAAGGTGCCACTCTTTTCAATTACAAAAAAGGAGGATTCACAATTGTGAAACTAGTAACTAGTCAAATTTAGGTAGCCTATATCTTGTCTAAGTGGTGAACAAAATCATCAGCTAAAACATTAATAGTAATAATATGTATGGGCAAAACTATGTGATAACACCTTGAATCTGAATTCTCCTGATCACACTTTTCATACACGAGGAAGATTTAAATTATTTCATACACATTTTCCAAGATATGCTAAAATGCTTAAGTTATCAGAAATGGGTCTGCAACGTTAATCAATAACTGTAATGCATGGTGCAACAGTACCCCTTCTGATAAAATTAAACGTTCGTCCAAACTCATGATCGATTCTGACTTTCAAATCAGGGCACTCACACACCCAAGCGACTTCCGGATGCGATCCATTTCCCAAGCGACGGTTCACATGACATGGATTTTCAGTGTGTGCAAACAGGATTCTGGACCATAGCAGAGGAGCCGGAGCGATGGAGGAGGAGGGAGTGCTCCTTTTCCATCCAGCCCGCCAAAGCTGCGACGAAAATCCGCAGAGACCCCTCGCCCAGCGCGGCACGCAGCGTCGGCGAGCCGTGGCTGTGGACTCGACCGACCTCGAGAACCCGGCATTTCCCAGGTCGGAGAATTGCCGTTCGCCCTTGTCGAACAAGCTCACATTCCACGTCGCCCGTTCACGTAGCTTGTGATGCCATCCTTACCACTCCGTTCCCGATGTCTGCCACTCTCTGCCCTCGGTTCATTCTCGTTCCCCTGTTCCCACTGTTCCCCCTGCCCACGCGCTGCGGGTGGGAGCAATAATTTTCTACTCGGCCACCAGGTACTTTTGGATCATCGGGTAAGATCTCTTTGGATATCCCTTGGGTGGAAATGGCAGGCAAGCACCGGATGGAATATTCCAAAAGTACCCCTTGACCGCGTCCTACCACTCTGGGTCGATATTTGACGAGCGGAAACTCACAGCGCATGGCCATCCATGCGTTCTTACCCCCCGTCCCCCGTCCCAACGCCACCTGAAAGTTGACCCAATGCCACTGAAAAATCTCAGTTCTCCGTCCTATGAAAGTCTGGTCGCCAGGGTTCTCACCCCTCCCAGCCAGCATGCAGAGAAATACTGCGTACGCTGTAGCCGTGATTCATACATTCGTTCGTCTTCAAGTGGTGCAAGTAAAGACAAGCACCGGCACCTCTTTACTTCTTTCCCATGAATGATTGTTTCAGCTATGCATTCTGATTGTGTCAATTGCGAATGGAACCCCATCAATAGTAAGGGGAGGGGAGGGGGGATATATTCTCCCTATGTCCTGCGTCATAGACCAATACATTTATGATCCACTCGGACACAATAAATATTTATCTCTCCATTCCACCAACGCCGTCCACTCAGTTACTGTATGCAATACTTGGTTGCAGCATGAGCACGCTCACTGATGTCATGGACCCGCATTTGAACGGTCGAGGGTTTGTTTTCGTATCAAACTTCAACCTTCATTTCTTTACCAGGCAGCGAAAACTTTTAGCTTTTTTAAAAAAAATTCCATCCAACTTCTTCACCTTGTTTTACTCCCCAAATTCTGTTCTCTTCCATTATCCTACTTTGTGTTTCAGATTGTCACAGTGTCTTCGTTTTTGTCTTTTTTGACTCGTGATGTTTGTGATGGTATTTGATTCTGAATATTTGCATCACAGCTACCTGTTGTAGAAGCTTGGTCTGGTTTGTAAGCTCGTCTTGCAACAAGTTCCACGCGCCCCTGTGTACGCTTAGTGTTTTCAGATGCCAACTCAAGACATCCAAACAAACATTAAAAATATTGTGTGGCCCGAAAACCATCTCCATCGTATGGAATTTCTTTAAAGAATAAGAATAAGAATAATAACACAATTTTCTTAATAAAAAAAAATCGTGCTATTCAAGAGCTCACAATCAGTTGCAAAATGTACTGATGTTATTGTTTTGCCTTGTGATTTGCTATTTTTGTTTTAGTTGGGGACAATAACATGAAGCGGGTTACTACACACATAGTACCCAAAAATAACGCATGGAAATGGAACGATTAGTATTTTTTCAATCAGCTAAGGAATGGTCTGTAAAGATGGTAGCAAAGCACGCGTATTCGTTCTCGTGCAGCCTCGAGGCCAGAGGATCGTGAAAGAGCGTCTTGGACGTGGAACAGAGGGAAAGAACACTGGTTACTCCCTCGAGTTATTGCAAAGCGCTCCAGTCCATTGACACCCTTTTCTTCCGAAGTAGTAAGTGGATTTGGGATTGAAGACCTCGGATTAGGTTCAATTCTCAGAAGTGGTGCCGAATGTTAGGTGCAACGAAAGACGGGGTGCAGTGAATGAAAGAGAATCACGAAGAAGAAAATCACACTGACACAGGGCTTCCAAGATACGAGGTCGATGACGAGTCAAGGGATGGAAATGCTGGATTTACAGGGTTGGCATGCTGTGATGACAATTTGAAGGAGGGGGTGGGGAAACGAGAGAGTAAGATCAAGAGAAGGAGCAAACGAATGGGCACATGATGGGAGCAGGGGAAGAGAGCGTGCACAAATATCAGCCCAAACAAGGCACCCAATGCGATGCATCAAACTGTCGTCATTCCAGCGTGGAAGTGCCACGCAATCCGGGTGAGTCCAGATGGGGTCTTCTCGGGGCATCCGCACAAGCGGAATCGCCGCCGATCGCTCCTCCTTTTCATCCGATATCGAATCGGATCCATTCATCTCCCCGACGCTCTCCCACCACCCTCGCCCATTTCCCCTGGTTCCTCAGCCGAGCCTTCCGGTTCGGGTTCGGTCCCGATCCTTGATCGGCTCTCTCCGCTTCCGCTATAAAGTTCCGCACCCTGTTAGGAAGCAGAACATCCGACTACACTGCAGCGATCAATCATATTATCGAGTTATCTGTTTTGCCCCTTTCACACACTCGTGCATCGCCACTCTGATCGTCGGAGCCTGTGCGATCCCATTCCAATTCTAGTCGACCACCATGGCTTACGACATGGGCTACAGCTCCAAGAAGGCATCTGGATACGGTGATGACGCCGAGGGCGAATACAAGGCCAGCACCTACGGGGACGACAACGAAGGCGGGTACAAGAAGTCTGGAGGCTATGGAGACGACAACGAGGGAGGGTACAGGAAGTCTGGAGGCTATGGGGACGACAACGAAGGAGGATCCAGGAGAACTGGTGGGTACGGCGGAGACGAAGAGACCAGGCCCAGGCATGGCCACAAGAAAGACTCTGACGGCGATGGCATTCCAGACGAGTTCGAGAAGAGCCAATACAACAGGGAAGATGTAAGTGCGCAATGCGACAATCGTGTCCCCCTCTTGTTTTGTAGCAATGTCGTTCGATCGATCGCCCTCCCGGCATCGCGCGGTCCAGTGCAGTCATGTCTAGCCGGGACCGATTCGCTCAGGAGCTGAATTGTACAGCGGCGAAGGTCCTGTGGACAGATCGCAGTCTGACGATCGTCATTTCGCGCAATGTGCAGGTCGAGGACTTGAAGAACCGCACGGACATTGACGACGAAGAGAGGGATCACCGCCGGAAGGTGTTGATGGCCGAGGTTGCAGCAGGCGTGGTGGGAGCTGGAGTGCTCGGAGTCGCCGGCTACGCGGCGTACAAACACTTCAACAAGGATGACGACGAGGAGAAGGAGGGCGAGGAGGGCGAAGGGAGGAGACGCACGTCCAGACGCGGAGACGATGAGGAGGGTGGCCACAGGAAGAGCGGGTACGGCGACGACGAAAGAACCGGCAGCTACGGGAAGAAGAAGAGCGGGTACGGCGAAGACGAAGAGGCTGGCGGTTACAAGAAGAGTGGGTACGGCGAGGAGGAAGAAGGAGACAACAGGAGGGGATGCGGGGAAGAGGAGGAGAAGAAGAGTTCATGGTTTTAAGTCTCCTGGTGCCGCGTGGACGGCTCCCAGCAAGGGTCTGTAATTGTTGTGAATTATCAAGGGCGAATTGAACATAATTGTCATTTTGGGAACATGTAACATCTAACAGCTCAGCTGTGGAGGTTCCAAGGTTGCAATCCTGGACCTGAATGTATACGCGACTGGCCTACTGCTCTGTCATTTGGCGAAACTCGGTTTCGAAGATATAATGAAATGAACGGGTTTCGCGTCTCTGATATCTGTGTCGCATTCATGGTGTTGCAAGTTGTGTCGGACCGTCTGGGAATTGGTGGGGGCGAACGATGATCGACCTTGAGGTCAGGCTCGTGCACCGGTCGAGAACAACCGCACAGTTGCGAAGTGCGGCGTTGCGTCGAAAATGGCACTCGCCAGCCGAGAATGGTGCGGAGGGAATAATAGTGCTCCGGTGATGAGAGCTTAGAAAATCTGACACGGTGTGCACCGACCGGATGCGAGATTCCGCAAGGTCGTCGGAGCGACCAGAACATCACCAGAGCAATTCGCCACGATCGGAGTGAGTGGCAGAATGACAAACACACCAAGTGGCTCACTGGAAGCCCCGCACTTGTTCGACTAGATACAAGCAGAGCATGTGGATAAGAAACAATTCCAGAGACCGGAAATCTGTGTCACGGGAATATTTGTATAGAGATCTGTGTTCCGATCGGGGACGGGTAAACGAAGTACAGCAAGACGCCTGGACACTTTGGACTTTCACCAGCGACCCGGTCTTCCATCCGCGCCCCCCTCTGGCTAAGATTTTCTTTTCCGTCGTCAGCTACTCTTCGGCTGCATCGCAAATGCGTTCGCATGCTCCCGAAGTTCCCGATATGGACGGGCCACGAATGGGAGGCGTGACGTGACGTGGAGCAGCAGCAGGGCAAGGTGTTGGCAAGGAGGGTTCTGTTCGGATTTGCTCTAATCAAACAAGAAAACACAGCAGCCAATCCTTGGGAACCATCCTTTGCGAAGAATATCAGGGATTCAACTTACAGGGTGGTGTGTGGAAATGACGACATGCAGATGAGTAAAAGGCACCAATTCTACCTCTTTCTCAATGAAATTTTCAAGGCAGGAGGTTGTCGTTCAGTAGTGACCAATCATTTACATATTCTGTATACACGGTTCGAGCTTTTGGGTTGTTTTGTCATTTATATATTTACACAACCATCAAGATGTAATCAAGATGTACTTTATGTTAACTTTTTGAGAAGCATGTCAAAGATTATTTTTTCTAGATGTGTTGCATGTTTGCCAAGGCTTTATATACTATTTGTAAACACACAAGAAAATGTTGTAGCCACTAGTTTAATTTGCAAATCCTTCTCTTTGAGATCACATAACTAGTAGGGTGGAATCCTTTGCCCAACAATTTTCTTGCAAGTTTGATAGCATTGCCAATTTGATATGATACATTATTATATGATATCTATATTGTTTATTGATACATGTGCAATCATCATCCTTAAACATTTTCTTTTTACACATATTTTTGCATTCTTTGTTATGTCCTTCTACAAACAATTTTTTTTATTGCATATATTTTAGTAACAAAGATTGTGTTTTTGTGCATTTTGTCTATTATCTTTATTTTCTATTTCTTCAAATAGCATATATATATATATATATATATATATATATATATATTTTTCTTTTGTACAGATATTGTGGTTTGATTGGATAAACTTGGTCATCTACCTTGTATTTGTTTTAAGAATAGATTTTGTACCAATATGGTTGGTATTACATAGAGCTCTTTACAAGCATATTAAATTGTATTTTTTTGTAGAATAAATAATTTTTTATGACATATTACAAATGTTCAATGATACTTTTATATGACAATATTGTATTTGCTTGTATCTCTATAACTATTATTATTAATTTATTTTGCAAACATATAATCATTCTTGTTAGCACATACATACTTTGAAAATATGTGGACATGGAAGTTATATTGAAAATGAAAAAGACTCAATACAATATTCTAATAGTGCATCTAATATTACTTCCATTGTTATATGGTACTATGTAAGATGCTTTTTATTCAATATCATTTGATACTTTGTCTTATAATAGATAAAAACTTGGATTGTAAGAAAGTTACAAATTTGTATAGAAGATATAGTTGAAACAATTTCATTTGTTTGATATTCTTTAAAAAAACATCAGTCTTCTATAGAAAAGACAAAGATATTTTCTTCTGTAGAAAAGACAAAGATATTTTCTTCTGTAGAAAAGACAAAGATATTTTCTTCTGTAGAAAAGACAAAGATATAACTTGAAGGTAGAATTTGAACATAATACAAACATCTTTCACATACAATTTGATGAAATTGCCAACATGCAAATTTTTAAAGGCCCTTGCTTTTCTCAAATTGCTTGTGGTTTTAAATTGTTCGTTTGTTGTGAATCAATAATGAATCTTTGAAATATATTGAAATTGCTAGTGTCTCTTTCTAATGTATGTACAATTAATGCTAACTTGAAGTAAAATCATTTATAATCTTTTATTGTGTAAGGTATGTGCATTTACATAGAAAATGGTTTTAAGCTTAACTTATCTCAAACATCAACTTATAATTTGTTGTATTTTTATTTATTTATTTATTTTAGTAAATGTAAATTATGTTATGTACTTTTGAGGATGTGCTGTTTTTGTAATTTACGAGTGCCAATTGACAATCCATGATTATGATAATAGATTTTGGAATCTAAGTAAAGATATTGATAGCACATTAAAAAAATAGAGACATAGTAAAGACATTTAAAAAAAAAAAAAATAGATATTTTGTAAAGAAAATTTTGATAAATGAAGTTAAAATTTTTACATTAAAATAAGGATTTAGAAATTAAAAATATATAATTTATATATTTAATTTTTGAATAGTATTATTGGATAGGTGTAGTTTTAACATATTTTTATGGAGGCTTGTATGAATACATGAGTTGTATGACCATCAAATATAATTAATTCATAATTATAATTTATTCAAAAATATAATCAATTCATAATTATAGTTTATTTACAAATATAATCAATTCGTGATTATAGTTTATTCACAAATATAATTTATTTATATTTTATTTTTTTTTCTTTTTTTAAATAAAACTTATAAGAAATAGTTTAAATTAGTTTTTAAATATTTAGTCCATTGCAATAATAACCATCTATATTATTTTGGATGGATTTTGAGATGGTTTTAGCATTAAAGTTATTGTGGTGGAAGATTTTTAAGGTTTGATACAAGTGCAATCTCAAAACAAACATCTCTTTAATTCTATATTCTTCTTTTTTTAATCAATCAATAGTAAATTAGATATTTCTACATCTTTTTTGATTTGAAATGGTTGTATTGTACATTTTTTTTGTTTAGAAGATCTATAGACAATTTGTCCTTGTTTGATTTATTATCTCAAATAAACATCTAGTAGGTACAAACTTTAATTGTCTTTGATGCTTCAAATTTTCTTACAATAGCCTTATTTAAGATTATATATTTAAATCATATCTAAGTTGTATCTTCAACATTTTTTTAAATATTATTTATTTTTATATAATAATCCTATCTAGAAGATTTTTTTAGAAATATATATATATATATATAAAGATTGTTGAGTATTTTCATTAATTGGAAGGTTATATTATAAAATGACATTATGAAGTTTAGAACAATCTTGTGATATGGATAAGACGTATTAGATTTCTAAAAGATAGACATATGGCATATTTAAAAACCAATAATAAGTAAAAATAATCACTTGCAATTAAAAATAAGCTACATTGGATAAATCACAAAAGTACAATGGTGGTGAAAATAATATAAGTCATAGGTTTAAGAAACTACATTTAATTTTTATTTAATAGAGAATTAAAATTTGTGATAATGATGTAGAATCTAAAAAGATTTATAATTGCACAAATAATATAAATATTGATGAAGATTTGTGTGGACAACAAAGTAAATTAATAGATTTAGCTTTGATGAAGAATTACTAGTTTTGCTATCCAAGCAAAGATAAGAGAAAGTGGCAAGCAAATGAATACAAATTAAGTATGTGTTAAGAAATGTAGATTTTTTTTAAAATGTATGAATATTTTTAGCTTTGAATATATGCCAATAATTATTTTAATTTATTTGTATATTGTAAAATTAATTAACTAAATTACATAATAGAAGATCTTTGGATGTCATTAGGTATATGTCAATAATCTTGTTAATTTTATTTTGACATAGTTTAAAGAATATATATAATAGATATTCCATATTCCTAGTTAACATCTTAAAAAAAATCTTCATTTATTTATTTATTTATTTTTATAAATCTCATATATATATATATATATTATGATTTTATTAGACTTCATATATTTCTTATTTTTTAAAAGTTTAATTGTTAGATTAATTATTACATAAAATAATCTTTATTTAGTCTTTTTCAAATAACTCTATTATAATTTTATTAAGAACTTATATTTTCTATTAAATAAAATAATTTTTTTTATAAGTCCTTAATAGTAAAAAAATTATGATAAATAAAAAGTAATGTATCTTTGTTTTATTAGAGAAGACATAATATTAAAGAGTAAAGATATGGATATAAGATAAAAATTAATCACAATAGCTATTGCCAAAGACTAAGAAGCTAAAGATTCTTGGATCAAGATTAAAATACAATAAAGGCATCAATAAGTGTAATCATGGCCTCACTCTTATCTATTAGCTATCAAAAAATAGTCTTATAGAAGCCTTCTATGAACCATAAGATTTGTCATTCAAGTATAAAATTAAAAGTTGATTCAATTATAGCTTTTTAAAAGTAAAAAGCTTGTGGCACATTTTTTGATAGCTACATGGCATACTAGTAGGAATTTTATAATCTAAGTTGTATCTAAGAAACTTCTTCAATTTTTTTCAAAGAATATACTATCTATTTAATATGATTTTTTGTCATATTAATCTATCTATGGAATATATGTAATAGTTTTATTATAATTTTTTTAAAGATAAATGCCACAAAGAGTGATCCAAGTATTTTATAAACTAATGGAGTCCAAGATCCTTAAAATGATATTAATAAAAAGTTCTAATCTTTTTTTTTTATGTATGTGGTTGATTAGTTCTTTCAAGTATAATAATTTTAATTATTATATAATTAGATTTATTTATTTTTAGATAATAATTAGATATAATCTTTGATAATCCAACTTGCC